CTTCCCTGGCAGGGATGCTAGGGCACCTCTTAGCTGGCAAGGTGGAAGTCTAGCCTTTGCTGGTCAGGGTGGAGCTGCATCTTTTCTGTGGTGTGTGTCTGGAGTAGGGTGGCTATTGTCTGAGAGTTCTCTCTCTCACCCAGCTGTCCCTTGCCTGGTTCGTCAGTCAGAGAGAACAGGCTTTTACTGGGGCTTCTTGTTATCTGTGCCTGTTGGCACTTTCAGGTTGCTGGCTCCTGCAGTCCCCAGTCTGGGACAATGAGGCGAAAAGAAAACCCAGGACACCATACCTCCATGTTGTTTCTCAGGTTCCAAGGTTCCCAGCCCATCTGCCTTTGTCTCTCCACCTTTCAGTCTTCTTAGGTTTGTCTTATGTACTATGTCCAGGGTTTTATTCGTACTTAGTAGGAGGAATGGACAAAATTACGTCTACTCCATCTTCCAGGAAGCAGAAGTTTCAGGGAACCATTTTCGAAAGGGCTTAGGGGTGAGGAGTATGCCCGGACCGCCAGCAGCCTCTTCCCGGAGGCCAGCCAGGAGTGCAGCCTCCAGTTGATTGGGTCTGTGAGGGGAGGCTGAGTTTAACTGAAGGGAAGTAGCTCAGAGGACACTCTTGTGTGGTCACTTTTATGTGGGATCTGGACCAGTGTGCTTCCTCTGGGGTGGCCTGCTTGAAACAGAACTCAGTCCTGTCCTTTGGATCCTTACTGCTCACCTCCTCAGTATCGACAACAGATCCCTGCTTCTCCTGTCCCCGTCTCTCCCTCAAAAGACAAAAACAAAAACAGAAACCCCAGCCACCCTGTCAGAAAACAACAACAAAGCTAGCATACCACTGAGAGTTTCTAGACACGCTCCCCTGTGCCAGCTTCCTTTTGGGTTGTCTGTTCAGAGTCTGTGTGTCCGTCATTATGGGGCTCTCAGGAAGAGAATGCCTTCAAGCCTGTCAGAGGCCCCTCTCCAGGACAGACGGTGAGGCCTGAGAGGGAGAAGTGCTGCCTTACAAACTGCTTGTGAGCCTCTGGTCCTGTGGGGACAGTGGCTCTGGGGGGCACTTCTGGACTTAGCGCCACGGCCAGGCCTGCTGCTGGCGTGTTTAGACAGTCAGAAATGGTGGGAGAAGCAGCAGCAGTTCCTGGGAGGCCCTTCCCACGCCTGTGGGCTGAGGACAGGGTGGCCGGCTCAGGACCACAGGCTGTCCCGGCGCTGGGCTCTCGGGCATGTGGGGTGGGTTCCAGTCCGGGGGCTCGCAGTAGAGGTGCTGGGGAGCTTGAGGAGGGAAGCAGCAGGAGCGGCTTTGCATGCTTAGGTGGGCTCCTTCCTTACCAGCCCCACAAACGCAGTCATTCCTGCCTCTGTGCCTTTGCTTTAGCTGTGCCTGTGCCCAGAGAGTCCTCTCCACCTCAGCCCGCCCTCCTATGTGGTGGGGTTGGGGGTCCTCACCTCCTTCACGGTCATTTGCTCACTTGGATGGCTGTGCAGGGTGGCAGGTACCTCCTTGTCTCCTGAGGAGGTAGAATGGCACAGTAGACATCTGGAGGCTCTTGTCATCCAGCTGTGGGCACCAAGTCAGCCCTTTTAGGAACTCTTTGCTCCACCCTCTACCCCGTCAGCCTGTGCCTGCTGCCTCTTGCTCCCTCTCTGGCCTCTGTGCCTGGCACATTCCAGCTCTCTTCCTACAAACCAATGGACTGGGTCACTGCCCTTTGGAACCTTGTCCCTGTTTCTTTGAATGAAGTTTCCCAAATCTGGCTGTGGGGGCAGAGTCACTTGAAGACTTACATAGTGACCCCCCCAGTACCTCCCCAGATTTGGCTTCCTTAGGTTTGGGAAAAGGACTCTCTCTATTTCCTTTGGACTGTGAACCCGTGAAGGTAGGAGCAGTTTCTCATTTATCTCTGCTTCCACATTGCCTGACACAGGCATTGGTAAATGACTTTTTAAACAGCTTTATTGAGATGAAATTCACATACAGTTGATCCATTTAAATTGTACAATTTGGTGATTTTTAGTATATTCCCAGAGATGTGCAACCATCACCACAGTCAATTTTAGAACATTTTCATTGTCCTGCAAAGAAATCCTGTACCGCTTAGCTGTCATTCCCCAATCCTTCCATCCCCCTGGCCCTAGGCAACCGTTGTCTCTCTTCAGTCACTGTGGATTTGCCTTGGAAAATGCTCTTGATAGAACATACCCACTTCCCAGCCTGCTCCTCCTCCCAGAGCACGTGTTTCTGGCCCTATGCCCTCTGTTGACCTGGCCTTTCCTACATTTCTATACAACCTGCCGACCTGGAAGGGTCTCCTTTGGGGTGATCTGTATAAAGAAGTCATGGCCAGGGTCCAGCCCTGTGGCATAATGGTTAAGTTCGGTGTGGCCGGCTTCAGCGGCCTGAGTTTGCAGGTTCCGGTTCCAGGTGCGGACCTACACCAGTTGTCAGCCATGCTATGGTGGTGACCCATATGTAAAGTGGAGGAAGACTGGCACAGATGTTAGCTCAGGGTTAATCTTCCTCAGAAAAAAAAAAAAAATCATGGCCAATCAAGGTGGGTGCTGTCAGGCTCCCTGCTGTACAGCACATGGGGGCTATGCACACAGTCAGCTGAGTATATGTTTGTTGAGTGAATAAAGACCAATGGTGGGCCAGGGTGAGACCAAGACTGGGTTCTGAGGGAACTTGTGCCAGCCCTCGGGTCTCCCACTGCTGCTTTTGGGGAAAGCCCAGATGTGGCTGATAATGTGGAGCTGTCTCAAAGTCCTGCAGCCAGAGACGGGAGGCTGATGTACAATAAAAGCTGGACAGAAATGGAGGAGACATGACCTCGTTGTCTAACTTCCTGGTTTCACAGGTCACGGAACTGCAGGCTGAGGGGCGAAGTGGGGAAGTCACCTGGCCCAGGATACACACAGGGGGTTGTCCTGCCCCAGTGCTGACCGCTCCATCCTGTGTGCAAGCTTTGATGGGGTCTGATAAGTGTGTGAATCCCTGAGTGGTGCGGGAGAGAAGCCGAGCGTGCTCACCTGCCTGGGGATGGCTGGGCGCTGCTGGTGTTTGCTGAGAAAACAGACCTCTACTCTCTTTGCTTCTGCTTTCCCAGGCAGAATTTCATTCCACATACCCCATGGCCCTCCTGGGTCGTGTCCCTCTAACCCCTGGTTCCCTGCCAGTGCCCACTCTTGTGTCCATCAAAGCCAGTCTTTCACTTTCTTCAGGCCTCTCCATGCCTCTTGCCCGAAGCCCCTCTTACGTGCCGTGTTCACATTCACAGGGAAAAACCATTGCTTTCCTGGGGGGCCTTGAGGAACCTGCAGAAGCCAAGAAAAGAGAGTTCTTCTTGGCAGATGGTGTGTGACCTCTGGCAAATGACCTTTCCTCTCTGAGTCCACAGATTCCAGGCTGCCAGCTGAAGAGGTGTGACAGGGCCTCCTGGTTTGGAGAGCGTTGAATAAAAAGCACTTCTAGAGGAGCCCTGAGGCTCACCCAGAGATCAGTCTGTGTGTCAACAGCAGGCAGAGGGTTTGGGCTTTATTTGTGTCCTGCCCTCCAGAGGGCAGTGGACAAATTGGCCTGGTTGTGCCTTCCCCACCCTTTCTCTCCAGCTGGCTCTGGCTGAAAAGGGGGGTGGAGTCAGAGTGGCTGTCCAGATCTTTAGCTTACGCTGAGCTCCGACTGCCGTGGTCTTGGGGGAGGAGAAACTCTTCGGATATAAAAAAATATAATCATAGCTAACATTGATTGCACTCATAGGCCAGACACTGCTCAGTGTGTTTTTCTGCTATGATTTTTTTTTGAGATATAATTCACATACTGTAAAATTCACCCTTTTAAAGTATACAAAGTACTTTTTAGCGTATTCACAAGGTCATACAACCATCTCCACTGTCTAATTCCAGAACATTTTTATTACCCTGAAAAGAAATCCCTTACCTGTTAGCAGTCACCCCGTATTTCCCACTCCCTCCGTGTCGTGCACCATCAGTCTGCTTTCTGTCTCTGTACATGTACCTGTTCTGGACGTTTCATAGAAGTGGAATCATGCGCCATGTGGTCTTTTGGGTCTACTCTCACTTAGCATAATGTCCAGGTTCATGCATGTGTTAGCATTGTCAGTACTTTGTGCCTTTTTATAGCTGCATAAGATTCCGTTGTGTGGCTAGGCCACCTTTTGTTTATCCCTTCCTCTGATGATGGATGTTGGGGTGACTTCCACTCTTTGGTGACTGTTTAATAGGGCTGCCATGAACGTTCACGCCTGCGTTTTTATTTGAGCACCTGCTTTTAGTTTTCTTGGGTGTATATACCAAGGAGTGGAATTCTTCACTTAACCTTTGGAGGAACTGCCAGACTTTTCCACAGTGGCTGCACTGTTTTCCATTCCTGTGCTGAGTTTTGCTTGCATTGTGTCATCAGTCCTCACATAAGTTTCGTGAGGTGTAGATATAATTGTTATCGCCCCCACCTTTCAAGTGGGAGAACTGAAGCTCAGAGGGTTTCAGCCCAGGGTCATACAACCAGGAAGTCAACAGTGGTTTGGCCCACGCTGGCTGCCATCACTGAAGGGGTCTCTCTTCTCCCAGGCCCTGCTTTGTGCCATTAGGATGAGGACTTTTGACTGTGTTGTTCGCCTGGCACACATCGGCACTCAGATGGTTATTGAAGAAAATGCCGTTGTTTTCTGATCTTGGTGGCTCGAACAGGAGCTTGAAGGAGGCATCTGTTTCCTAGGAGTTCCTCTACTCTGCAGTTTTTCAGACTTCCACTGGGTTTTGCATTCTCCTCTCCACACCAGATGCTGCAGACCTCCCACAAGTTTCTTGCTGTCAGACATCTCTCTTGGAGACTCAGCCTGTGGCTAGGGAATGAGATGCATGGAGTGTGCTAAGCAGAGGTGACTTGTGTTTCCAGAGAGTGTTTGTCATTAACTTGGCTGTTGAACCTGTTCTCTCTCTCTTTGGTCCAAGACCACTGATGATCTGCTCTCCTTTTACTCCTCCAGGCAAAACCCATTTACGCTGGCTGCTCCTGGCTCCAGATGGGACTCACCTTGACAACCCAGTGCATCGGTCTCGGGTAAGGGCGTCAGAGTGAATTCTCAGGGTGGGAGGGACTGGAGAAGGGCCCATCTAAGGGCAAACTGGCCAAGTGGAAGAGGGAGATAGGGAGCTGGACAGTGGGTTGTGGGATGGCAGGATGAGCAGGGAACCCCCATTTCATGAGCTCATAGGTGTTTGCTTCAAAATGAGGTGCTCTCATGTGGTGCCACCTGTTTCATGGGTCCTCTTGACTGTAGAAACAGTTAAATGGAAAAGGCAAAAGAGCAGTTTGGCAAATGTTTGTATTATGCTAATTAGGTTCCCAGTTCCTTCAGGGCCGAGGCCCTGCCTCCTGCAGCTCCCCTCTTCCATCCGGTGCTTCAGGCTGGGCGCTCAGCAAATGAGCCTAGTGAGGGGTTAAGGGCCTCAAGGGCCAGCATTGCTTTTGCCTCATCTCTCCTGGGCACCCCAGCCCAGGACAGGTCCCTGCTGTGCACAGGCTGCTGGGAGCAGTGAGATGGTCAAACCAACATTGTCCCTGACCAGTGGTTTGTTCCTCTGCCAGGGAGCCCCTTTGGATTTGACTCCAGTTAAAACACATGCTTTCCTTTTCCACGGGCTTGCTTCCAAGTGCTGCCACCTGCACCCTCTAAATTGCTCCATCTCTGCTTCCTTCCCATCCCTGGCTCCTCCAGAGAGCTTCTGCCCTGCCTCTTGGTCTCTGCTGCCCCCAGCCTGAATGCCGCACTCTGGGGTGGGGGCCACAGTGCCCCACAGACCCTGCGTTGTATCTGGGGTGTTTGGAATTCCTTCTGGAATGGATTTTGACTTTAAAACAGCAAGTAGGAGTCTTGAAAATGTTTCTCAAGAAGAGTCCACGTGGCCTCTCCCTGGACACCAAGGGCGGAACCAGCCCTCTACAGGTCCTCTTTGCAAGGCCGTTTGAGTATCCTGTTCCTGCCACCCAGGCGGGAGGACCACAGGGGTGACTGTGTTCCAATGACTTCAGCAACTAGGGAGCAGTTCCCCTTCCTGTTTTATATTTAGGTCATACAGAATTGCCATCTCCAGCTTCTGATGGGAAAATCATTATTATAAATGATATAATTCTGGCCCAAAGCAGAGCATGGTATTTTACTTAGTTCTTGTGGCCTTATTGCCAGAAAAGTACGAATTTTGTTGGGCTTTTTGAAATGTTGAAAATAGGTCATGGATCCTCATAATGATCTTTGGGATTCAGGGACCAACAGTCTCATGTTCTAGACATGTTTTCCCCCACCAAAAGGAAGGCGTCTATCTTCAGGTCCTTGTTGTTCTGCTGTCAGTGCTGTCGGCCCACTGTTGGCCCCAGCAGCTGGCCTTTGGGTGGGGAGTAGAGGGGGGCACTCCTTGCCGGTTCGTCATTCCCGGACGTTGGAGTTGTTCCTGCTGCTCTTGCTCTTTCTCAGGTTTGATTTTTGTTAGTTTGCTCCTCCTCAGTGAGTACTGGAGCCCGGCTGTCTTTTTCCCTGTCTCCCACTCCCTGTGGATCATTGGAACAACGCTTTTATAGCAGTTTCCCAGATTTTTTCAGAAGTGGGGAATTAGTGCCTGGCATTCTCAGGTTATCCCATATCATGTCAGATAATTCATCAAATAAATACTGACACATGTTAGTCGATGAAGAATACAAAAAGGTGACCAACACACCATCTCTTCTCCCGAGGAGCTTGCAAATTAAAATAAACCAGGTGTCTCGTTAAATCTCCTTAACTCGTGTGGAATCGCAGTGGGTGGTTTGGGCCTCTCCCCTAGCTAGCACATCACCGCTCTTCACCATGGGTCCCTCTTTTCATGCCGTCTGCCCTAGCAGTGGAAGCTGTGGAACCAGCGTTCCGTAAATACAGATTTGTCAGACACAGGGACTCAGGAAGCAGAGATCGCAGCCAGAGCCCTCCTAACCACTCACTCTATGCTCCGTTGCAGAAATGGCAGTGGCGGTTCTTTATCCTCTACAAGCACGGCCTCTTGCGCTACGCCCTGGACGAGATGGTGAGTGTCCTCCTCTGCCCACTCCCCGTCTCCAGCCTTTGCCATGCCCCTCAACTCAGCTTCGTCTGCGTCGTCTCTGAGCACAGCAGCTGTGTGCTCTTCGCTTGGGCTTCTGTTTGGGAGCCTGGAATTTTTTAAGAACTTGTGGCAGCTCGTAGAGATGGTCCTTAGAACTCAGACCTTTAGTTTGAGGCATGTGTAGTGGTTGTGGGTGAGAGTAAGTAGTGAGGAAAGAAGGCCCTTCTGTTCAAGGCTGATAGGAAGTGGACTCGGCAGAGCGCTCCTAGGCAGAGAGAAGTGGAGCAGGCTGTGGACCTGTGGGCAGATGGGGGCTGGCTCTGGGCGTGTGTGTGGAAGTTGAGCACACGTGCATTCACGCACTGTAATCCCAGGACTGCCTCTCAGTTCCGTTGCTGTGATTGGTCTCACTCATCCCATTCGGTTTTCAGAGGTCTCCTGGTCATGGGGTCAGTGTTCTTGTGGTCACTAAGCTGTGGCATGCGGGCTCCTTCCTGCCCTGCTGCTTACTTGGTTTGCTTCCTGCATCCTGGGCTGGACTAGTGTTTACTGCTGTTGGTCCAGAGGCAAACCTGAAAACCAAGCAGGTGGAACGTTCTGGCTCTTTCTCCCCCCCCCCCCCCCGCATTTCATCTCCTGACTTTTTCTCTGAAGGAGATTAGTCTCTCCTAACTAATCTGAAGTATGACTGAATTCCAAGCTTTAAAAGGGTTGAAGATGGAAGATTTGATTACCTTTTCCTGTTCTGTTTGAGTGTGAGTGTGTGTGTGCATTCACGTGGGCAGCATTTTTCAATTGGGACTGTCCTAAAAAACATAGTCACACCGTGTAAAATAGGTTGACCCCCCACCCCCACCCCGACGTCATATCTTTGCTGCAGGGTTGAGAGCAGACTTCTGGAAGTGTGAGCAGAGATGACTGTCCTCTCCAAGGACCTTGTGGACTATTGGGACACCTGGATTTTAGGGGGTTATTAAAGCTCATATGTGAGTAGGCCATAATTGGGTTGTTTCCACACTTGGGTCCTAATCTTTGTGATATGTTGCTTTCTCTGTTTTGTTTCTGGGATGAGTTAATGGGTATGATATCTAGGTATGGAATTAGTAGGTATGATACTCAGTTCTATATCGACTATCACCTCATTGGCTCCTTCTTAAAAAGAATTTTCTTCCTCATTCTTCCTGGTGAGACTATTTCTACAACATGGATGGGCCACAGAGAGTTTTTGCCCTGGAAACACCTGTGGTCTAGAGTAGTTTGAGATGACTGGGTTGAAAGTGAGTGCCTATGGGGTGCTAGAATTCCTAGAGGTGGGAGCAGGCAACTGCTGTGCTTGGACCCTCAGTTCCTTTCGGGGAGGAAGCAGGCCTGGAGGCAGACCCAGCGCTGCCTCTCTGTATTCTCCCCACTTGGCCATCCGTCATGTGAGCAGTAGTCTTGGGGTGGGAGCTGGGCTCCTATGAACCTTGAGGTTTCCTTGTCCTCCCTGTGCCTGGCTGACCCATTCTGAAGTCCCACAGAGACTTACAATAGAGAAGGGGCCCCCAAGTTGACTGGATTGCATCCAGGCTGGGCTGGCCATGAACCATTCCGAAAAACAGAGTTGCTTGGACTTATCCTTGGAGACTGATTATTCTGGTTAGGAAATCTTTCTCTAGGTCTAACTGGAGTCCAGCGCAATCCATTATTCCCTTCAGCTCAGTTGCACAAGCACAAAGATGGTCGCTCTTGGGGACGCCTTTGTGTCGGCACATGCTGCATCCGAGAGCCACTCCAAAATGATGGAGGCTGCTGAGCTGTGAGTAGGGACACTTGCAGTACACCGTGGTCTCCCAGCAACCTGAGTGTTGGTTGGGTATTATTTCATGTGCTGCTAGAGCAGAGGTGGGACTGTGCCAGCGACGTGGGAAGAGAAAGAAGTCCTAGGAAAAACTGGGACTGCAGAGAGCACATTGGTGGGGGATGCCTAGGATTGAGAGTTTTGGGAGTCCCCCTTTCTGGGAGATGACTTTGGAGCTGAAGAGACTGAATTGGTGAGCCAGTTAGTACTAATCTGCCCAAATTGGGCGGTGCAGATACCCTGAACCTGCAGGGAAGGAAGTGGCATTATTTCTTTGAGTGAAAGAAACAGTGGCAGTTGCATTGAAATACCTTTAAAACAGCGTTTCAGGCATGTGAGGGTTTTCCCTCTTGTGCTAGGAAGGTCCTGTGAGGAAAGTTGCAAGGAAGCATCTGGGCTGCACTTGAAGAGAGGCTAGGTGAAGGAGGCAGTCAGATACCAGCTGCCCAGTGGCCAGTGTTAATGGCCATTGCTGTAGTGCTTGTGGGCAGGCTCCTTCTTGCAGGGGCTGGAGGGGCCTTTGCCGCGCCAGTGCTCGGCATCAGGCCTTGTTCTTCATGGCCGCTCCCTGGATGAGCACAGTCCAGAATCCTGGAGCTCCAACCCTGCGGTCAGCTCTCCTAAAGCCTAGACTCCCGCCTTGCCTGGCCAGCAGAGTCCTGAGACCTGGAGCAGGAGAACTTTTCAGGCAGGCTTGTGTGTGAACTGAATTCCAGCCATGCTGGAGGTTTTCTCTTTGAGTGCCCAGAAGTAGAAGCATGATCCTCAACTGGGGATGTTGTGCCTCCCAGGGCCACCTGCTAATGTCTGGCGTCCTCTTTGGTTTTCACAACTGCACAGGGTGGAGGGGGTTGCTACTGACACCTAGTGGGTCGAGGCCAGGGATGCTCTTAAACATGCTGCAATGCACAGGACAGCCACTCACAACCCAGAAAGATCCAGCCCCAAATGACAGCAGTGCCAAGGCTGAGAACCCTGCATGATCTGGTCAGTGGCTTAAATTATTTTTATTTTTAAAAATTAAAATATGTTTGACTTGCTATCACCCGTTCTTAACAGGTGTGGAAGGATTCACCGTCAGATTTCTGGGAGAGAGGTGGGTGATGGGGCAGGGTTAGCCTGTTGGCTGGTGTGCTAAGTGCCTGGTGTGGAATGGGGGTGGGCCTATTCCTGGCATGGAGGGGTTTCTCTGGGTGTCCCTGCACATCCGGGTGACCACAGGGCTAGCAGAACTGCTTATGTGTGCTTTTACCCAGGGAGCATGTAGGTACCACTCACGTCCCTTGGCATGCTCAGACCACCATGCCTATATAATGGCCCCATCTTGGGTTTGGTCTCCGAGGGCAGCAGCTCTGAGCAGTCTGTAGCTACTGCTGATCCTACCTCTGGTGACAAGCTTAGCTCCAGCCCTCCCCCTTCCCAACCCACTCATCCCTCTTGAGCTGATCTACTGCAGTAATAAATTGTAAGATTTTGTGGCTGGGCTGTTCCCTTAACGCTTAGTTATAATCTGTTTCAAATTGTTGCTTGACTTTTATACAATGTTACTATTTGTTTTCATTTTATTTGTTTAAATGTTGTCTTACTAACTAGTTTGTGACTTCTTTTCATTGTTGGGCCCTCTGATAGTTCTTGGTATCTCTCTGCGTTGTCTGGGCTGGGCTTGGGTGGCACAAACCTAGTAAGTATTTGTTGAATTGAACTACTCAACTTTGTAAATGCATTGCTGCAGAATTTCTGCGTTCATTGTGGGGTGAAGGTGGGACCTGGGATGCTTCTGGAAGAGAGGTTAGGTGCGTCACATGTTGCACTCTTAGTGGTTCCTCAGCTGAAGGGAGAGTGACCTCCAGAGGGTTCCGAGAGCAGAGTGGGGAAGGTTGTCTTTGCAGGGCTGCCCCACCACCCCCGGCCTGGCTGGGACTGAGCGAGGGTCAAGGTGGTTGTCAGAAGGCCCTGGAGGAGGAGCAGGACTGCAGTCCCTGGGGTGGTGCCTGCCGCAAGGGCTGCTTCGAGAGGCCTTTCTGCCTGGGGCCTTCTGCTAGGTCTGGGGCCTTCAGGCCTAGTGTGGCTCCAAGGGCTGACTGTTGCCTTTCTCTTCCAGGAGGCTCTGAGATGGGACTAACCTTTGGAAGTCACTTTTCCTTTTTTGGGAAATTTCTTTCTCAATACACCCACATACCCTGTAACTGGTGGGTGTGGAGAAGAGGCAAATTCCCAAAAAAGGAAATTTCCTAAATGCAAGTTGAGGTGAGGTGGGCTCAGGGCAGCCTCACAGACAAGTGGGAGCCTGAGGAATTTGGCTGGGCCTCTGGTTCTTCAGGAGTGGATGGAGTGAAGAATCTAGAAACCCAAACTGCTGCCTCTCTCCTCTTCTGTTTCTCCCCCTGTAATTTGCCCACTGTGCCAAATTCTGCCACTTCTCTTTGAGCTTTTGGGGGCTGACGTAAAGCTAAGGTCTTAGTGGTCAGAGCCCAAAGGCCACTAGAAGGCTTTCCTGGAGAAGCACCAAGTCCAGAGGGGAAACAGGGCCCAAGTTTCAGGTGGAGCACGCTGGGCTTAAGGCTCCGAGGCTCCACAGGGGGCTGCCCCTGATGCGCTCTGCGCAGCCTGGTCTCTTGCTTTCATGTTCTTTTCCTTTTCCTTCCTGGAAGCCAGGCAAAAAGCTGGTCTAAGGTGTGTTTTTTCAAAAGAATTCTGGTAAAATATATGTAACAAAATTTATCATCTTAACCATTTTTAAGTGTACAATTCTGTGGCATTGAGCACATTCACACTGCTGTGCAGTGTCCATCTGCAGAACCGGAACTCTGTCCCCATTCACTGCTGAGTCCCAGCATCTCTCCCCCAGCCCCTGGCAACCACCATTCATTCTACTTTCTGTCTCTATGAATTTGACAACTCTAGGGTCCTTTATAAGTGGCATCATACAGTGTTTGTCCTTCTGTGTCTGGCTCATGTCACTTAGCATTATGTCTTCAAGGGTGATTCGTCTTGGAGCATGTGTCAGAATCTTCCCTTTTGATAAGTTGTGCTGGATCTAATACTCTCGAGCCCTGCCTGCTCTGAAACACACTGACCCTTGTCTCTCTCACGTGGAAACTGGAGAGGTTGTACCCTTGCTTCCGAGGCAGGTGTGTGGTAT